TCTTCTTGTGTTACTTTTCTTGTGTGATCAATGATTGGCTTCAGTGTCTGCCAGATGGTGGCTACTAACTACGCACTCGTGGTGGCTGAATCCTCGTTGCCATTGTAGATAGCAAACATGGGGTGTTCCGATGTAAACCGCTACAGCAAGTTGCTCCAGTAAATCTTGGCTTGCTCTAAATCAGACAAAGTGCTCGACCAGTTGGTTTGCGTAAAGAACGTTTACTTGTTATATACTTTTTGCGAAATAAGTCACACTGAAGAAACATACTTCAGAAGTGGATGCTGTTGCCCTAAAGGATCCCTTTTGAACCTTCTTTTAGCGCACTCAGTGGTATGACGACAGGTTGTTTGTTGTGGTCGCTTTCGTTTGTTCGTCAATTATTTGTTCCGTTTTTCCGTGGGTAACTTTGCTTATTACGATAACGTTGAAATATCTGCGCGGTGTTGCTCCTTTTGTCTAACGATCGACTCTTCACACACCCTTGACTGTGTACACATTTGCTTTTGCCGATTCGGTTTTGATATCTCAAACATTCGCTGGTGGTGTCTCTGCATTCGAGCACTCCTTAGTACAAAGTTTTGCAGCCAAGTTGTACTTTGTTGTTTGTTATTGTTGCTCTCACGACCGTCAAAGTTGTTCGTACTGTCTCGTCGCTTGTCTGCGCGTCTCGAGTTGCGAGCTAAAAGGTCGCGGACCTCATTGCGAGAATTCTGCTTCGTTATGCACTCGGGTGAATTCGGCCACTCGACTGTTGCTTTCCACGCCGGCGCCGGAGGACAAGCAGCGAAGGCAGAAATGCGCGTTGGCGCGACGACTGAGTCATGCCGCCTCCCCTGCCCCCACAACCACGACGATTTGTGGCATCGTAAACCACCCAGAATGATGCAGCAGGCATGTCTGCCTGTTGACGTGGTCTGTAGCACTGTGTAAAACGATGAAACCTTGGATTTGCCTACGGCGATTATGTTTAAATTGAGAGCCGAGGGACCGTCTGGCTACCACTTTCTAAGTTTCTGCGTAAAAGGATGAAGCAGACACGATGAAAAACACCGAAGAAGTACAACAATTCCGGTCTGAATGCGTCATGCCTATTCTCGTTCCCGCAGTTAGGTTTTAATTAATACATCGTGATCTAGTTTCTCCGAATAGGGCTTATTTCTTCACTGCTTGTCGCTTGCATTTTGTAAACTGGAGATTTTTGTGTGGGGCTGACGATTTCACCGTGTCAGGTCTCGCCTCACTGCACTACAGCGTGACCTTTTCTCTGTGTCAATAGGCACAGAACGCCCATGCACGGTGATGTATAAACTTAGCTTAATCTCCTGCAATAAAATCCAGTGTTAAATTCGCTTGTACTTGAAATCCAAGCGTCTGTCACCCAAATCAGTGATTATTCGCTGGTGGTCGACTCCAACTCCCAGCTACCAAGTAGTCGCTTCTCTCCACTTTGCATCAACAATGTGAATGGCTTTTGAAATCGTTCGGAACACAGAGCATCATCTCGCCTCACTGCTATAAACGCACGAAGACAGGACCGGGCGAAGACGAGGATTCCAGCAACTCAGATTTCGACAGTACGGTTTGCCGGAGCACCGAAAATTCGATTCGTGTGGTATAAGACTTGTCGGTTGTCGAAACCAGTTGGCGTCAACGTTGTCCTCCTTATTAGTGATTTGTACTGTCAAAACAAAGTTTGGCGGTGTAGAGGCTTGCTCAGCACCAAGTCCGTCTTTTCCAATAATGAAGACATGGTGCCGACTGTCCATATTCCTTTCGTATCCATTCTTTTGGTGCGCGGTGATGAGCGTCGATTGCCCACAAGGGCATCCCACCTCATTTTATTTGTATTCTCCCCCCATCCGCCCACCCCGCCAGGCGTGCACGTAGCCCCACGTCTAACGGGAGTTCGCGTTTGCGTAGGTCGGAGGACCTTCTGCCGTGCGTGGTGGATCTCTACGCCGAGCGCTGGTCCACCAGCCGAACAGTCGTGGACCTCGACTGGTCCCCCACGTACCCGGAGTTGGTGTTGGCCGCGTACAGCGCCAACGAAGAGGCCACCGACGAGCCCGCTGGCTGCTGCATGGTCTGGAACCTCAAATTCCCCACCCGTGGCTGCCCCGAGTACCTCTTTCACTGCAACGAACCAATCACCGCCGCGGCTATGGTCCGTTTTCACCCCAACCTCGTCATCGGTGGCACGTACTCCGGTCAGGTGGTTCTTTGGGACAGCCGGTGAGTGGCCGTCTCGTCTCAAGACTTTCCCTTGTTCTCTTTGAATGGGATACATTAAAAGTGCAGTAATATCGTTACTGATAGCTTGTGAGTAGAGTTTTGTGCTTTAGCTCGAATAAGCGAACACCAGTTCAGCGCAGCACGTTTACGACGATGACGCACACCCAGCCAATCAATTCTGTGCAAGTGATCGGATCACAAAACGCTCACAACGCGATAACATTGAGCTCTGATGGAACCATGTGTTCGTGGAGCCTGGATAACCTTGGTGCACCGCGTGAACGCATCCGCGTGTGTGAAACCCCCAGCACACCGACAGGCATGTTCGATCTCTTCCCCACGTGTATGGACTTCTTTGCCGGCGATCAGAACAACTTTGTCGTCGGAACCGAGGTTGGACACATCTACACCGATCAGCGGCATTCAAGGTAGCTTTCGCTTTGTCGTTGGTAAATTGCCTCGTTTGCTCTCCTTTCCCCAAATTCTCACTTTTTGATTGTTCACGTCTTACTTACATTTTATAAGTAGTCGTTCTACTCTGTTTTTGCAGTCGAACCGTTCCTCTTGAGGGTCGCTCGATTCGCCGGCCACAGCCCTTCAGTGGTCACTCAACAATGGTTAGCGGTATTGCGACACACCCTAGCCCGAGCGCGATCTCCTTCTCACACATATTTCTTTCCTCTTCTCTTGATTGGACCGTTCGTCTGTGGTCAGTGCGCGACAACACGCCTCTCCACACCTTCGACGACTACTCGGAATGCGTCTACGGCGTCGACTGGAGCCCGCTGCACCCCGCTCTATTCGCCGCTGTCGACGGCACTGGCCGAATCGACGTGTGGAACCTCATCGACGATATCGAAGTGATTGCCGTAGCTGTAACATTTAAGAATAATCGTGCTCACAATGCCTAATTCTGGCAATTTATGTCCTCCTCTTACGGAAGTTCAATGTTTAGCGTCATTTCGATGCATAGTCGGCTGTGTTACTTTAGCTGTCATGGAAAGCTGAATTTCAGACCACCCTCCATCGGCGCATTTGTAGGTTCCGACGGCGCGATGTCGCACCCAGTTTACGTCGGCTATGAACAAGGTGAAGTGGGACACGACGGGTTCATTCCTCGCGGCCGGTGACGACGAGGGTCACGTGCATGTTTGTGCGGTCGCCGAGCCACTCGCATCGCCCGGACCCGAGGACGCAGCCCGATTGGCTCATGTCCTCGCGGGGCTCAAGGCCACCTCTTCTTCAGCCAATCAGACCGTCTTCCCCTAATGCCACAAAGCGCTATCTTTTACTTTCTCTGCCTTTTAGCCATTGTCATATTTCTTATTTTTTCCCTTATTTGTTCCTCCATTCGGTGGCTGTGGTAACTTTTCAAACATCGCCCTTTATTTTGACTTTAATGTGCGTAATATTGGCACGTAATATGTAAAATTGAATGCTCTTTCATGCTTTTAATTGGGGAAATAAGTGGATTAACAATGCATTGTTTCATTTTCAAACACTGCCTTAATCTGCCTGCCAAGTTTATTCTTCAAATGCACGGCTCCTGCACTGGTACTGGTACTTGTTCAGAATGTCAAAATGGCATTGCGATGATATTTGTATCCCCAGAATCTGATTGGTTCGATTCGAGAGGCCTCCATTTCTCTTTTACACTAGTTTAAACAAGTTACGAAATCAGCAGTTGAAAATGGCTAAGGTAAAAATTCATAGAGGGAGGCGTTTTTGTCCATTAATCTCATCGTGAGGTGTTGGAGTTACGAAGTACTTCGTGACCCCTGAAAGTGTGCGTATTGCTGGTCAGAAAAGATTTCGCCAAGTGAGTAACTTCTCTGGGCTCATGAATGATGGATTTTTTTTCCAGGCGGAGTTGGTTCTTCAGCACTGTTCTCGCGTTCGCCACTGATCGTGCATTTGAAGGCTGTGGCGTCGTTAGATTGTGGCATGCCCAGAACAAGCTTTTATTCACTTTATTGGGTTTTGGGGGTGGGATATTGAGAAGAGTGACGCGACTGGGTGACTGGATTGCGTGCAGTTGCTTTCGAGTTATTGTGAATAAACAGTACATCCTTTTCGTCACTTCTGCATTTTTACAGACCGTTTTTAAAAATAAAACGAATCACATTCCGCGTTATCCCTGCTCCTAAATTCTTGAGCGATGATACCAATCTTCACACACACCGTTCGGTGCCATTCCAATCCACAACATAATTGACGGTTGAGATTCTATTGGTTAAAAAGTCCCGATTTTAGGAGAAGCGAATTTGTTTTGTGTCACTGGTTGTCTGCGACGCTGTCGCAGCCAATCAGAACTTGCGGTAGGCACATAAAATTGGTTCCTGTGTTCTGCCAAAAACCTACGCTAGAGCTGGTTTTTTTAAAATTCCAAATATGTGCATCTTCAGCAAGACAAAATCGTCTAATTTTTTGCTTTCGTGATCGAGCTAACCAGGTAAAAACCATATACGCTCTAATTTAAGGAATGCGAGGCTGCGAGCAATCCTTTTATTTTTCAAGTCAAACTGGCTCATAAAATTGGGTTAAGTTGTTCTTCAAACTAAAGTTTTTTCACGAGTCCTAATCGTTGCCATCTGCGAAGGCGTGTTTACGTGGACCTCGAAAGCCATTAGCAATCAGCGTTAGAGCGTAATGCCAAGCAGTGCCCTCATTAAGGGGGATTCCTACTTAAAAAAAACATGGGCAATGCTTGTATTTGTGGCATTATGGCACCTTGCTTAATCACCAAGTCGTTTCAAGAGTTGGCTTTCAAGCCGAGTCATCATAGATTTAAATCAGATCGACTAATAATAAAGGAAGAGGTGTCCCTATAATTCATGTCATCAGCCTCATTCTATTGGCCCACACACCTTTGATTTTACTATTTCTCACATCCGCTCTCGGCCGCCAACGCAATATATTAGTGGCCCCTGTGAATGTGCACTGAGCGGTACAATCCTTACGCACAAGGTTTTGCCTTGTCCTGCACTAAGTTGGGGAGACGCTGTATCACACGAATTCAGCCTCTGTGCTGGTGTGAGAGAACTGTTAGCATGTATCTGTGAGCCGGTAAACTCTAACGATGGTCTCGGCTTCTTCGCAACCGCCTACACCAGCTGTGATGTTTGCATTTTCAACTCAGTCGCAATTTACCAATTTCAGGCACAACACTAATGATTCATCCAGTGTTTGACCCTCTGCGAAGCACAAATATCGCAAATAGACAGTTATCTTGAATGTGGTTTCTGATATGTAAGTAACATGACTCACAACTCCGGCTTTACTGGAAACTGGCCTTTCTTGTGTGGCAGTCAGCTTTGTGACCAATCAACCCCTTATCATCTCACTTTTGGCTGTCAATTAAGCTGAGAGCTATGACCTTAAACAGTATCGTACCGCAACCGCGCGATATCTTAACGAGAGAGAAGCGATGGCAGAGTGAATGTTCTATTAGCGGTAGGTGGGTGCTTGTGTGGCAGAGGCGCCTACACCCGACAGGTCGCAATGCTGCACACGCTCCAATGCAGCAGAGGGTCTCCAACTCAACACAAGCGAATGCGCAACCTCATTTGGCGTATAAATTCGGAGACAGGTGCGTCTTTCAATTGCGCTACCACAGCTCTCCTCGGCATTTGGTGAGTGCTTTGTTATGGCTCATCTCATCGATCTGTTGCTCTCTGATTAAACAGCTTTTAAATATCCAAAACATCTTGAAGTTGCTGGAATTCGAAATCAAACATTTCACCTACTTTGTGTTCTCAAACACTAGAACTCGGTGGTAGAGCAGAAGATGGATATTTTGACATGGGCTTCAAACCATGCTTCTCTGTCATGTGTAGTTTAACTAAAGCACTCAACCTTGTTGATCGCGGGATTCTAAGTTGCCCGTTACCGTAACCATCAAGAGCGCTGTGATTCATTTAAGTAAAAATGCATATTTTTTAAGACACCGGGTGTTGGGAAATATGTTCGATTTAATTTTTAGCGAAAATGGACATTTAACAGCAACAATTCCAAACAATAAGTGTGCAATGGTAATTTTCATGACGTACTCAGCTGCGCAGACGTTCACGTTAATTTATAATGTTTTCTGCAGTGCAAAATCAAGCATATTCCACCTTTATAAAAATACGGCATACTTTGTCAGATTAATTTTCGTGTTTTGACGCGGTTTTAATATAAATCCTGGTCGTTTTTAAGTAATAGAGGACCATTTTAAATAAGATCACTATCAACCACAGCTGTTACATGAACTATCTTTACAAAATTACTAGTTTTATTTTATTTTTTAAATTATTTTTGTTTTAGAAAATGGCATCTCTTCAGTTGGTCCTTTTGATCCTCATTATTCAAGTAGCCGTAATTTGTAAGTTTGCATGATTGCATTTGTTTTTAAGATCTGCAGCTTACAAAAGTTTTGTTTACTCTGAAGACATCCAAGAGGAAGAGTAGTCCCTCTAATAGTCTTGTAAAATCAAACCCAGTCTCGTTTCCTAAAATAACAGTCTTCTGGCAGTGGTCTCGAGGCAGAAATGCCTGTGGCGTATTCAAGTGGGGTACAGCAACCACTTTCAACACTTCAGCGGGAATCTTATTTGTTACATTGAACGAAAACACAAACTCAATTTCAAAAGTACAATTTTCTCAACAAAGGCTCGATTTCGATGACCTATTTAGTTACTCAAAATCTGCAACATTTCTTCCATGTCACGAAAATTGATGAAATCTCCGTGTTTGAATTTTGTCCGATTTTGCGGAATGATTTGCTCATTAGGGATATTTACCAACATCTAAAAATATATTTTGATTTTTCTTCCTGACAACGGCTGCAGCAATTGCTTTGATAATTAAATAAATTTCTTCTAAACCACAAATACGAGGATAAAATTTAAATTTGCAATTAACGTTAAAGTGACATAATCCAGTATTATCAAAACCTGTTTACATTAGTGGCAAAGGCGTCAAAATTCAGGAATTCAAACAAAAGAGTTCAGGAAAACGCATTGCTGTTGGACACTTAATTCCGATGGGCAAACAACCGAATATCCTTGTTTTTGGTTGCAATTTGTGACTACTCATGATTTTCAGTAGCGCTCGCATTCACCGGTCCTTTTCATGTGTTTAGCCGCTAAGTACACAACCCTGCCGGGTGATACGCGAGTTGTGAAGGGCAAAAAGGACGACGCCTTCAATTACAAAACAACCCTACCGGGAGTTTACAAAGTGAGTTGCTCTTTTTATGATAGTTCCTTATTCTGCTGCCTAAACGCGACGGCGAAAGCTTTACCTACACTTTCGTAATGTATTTGGAAAGTCCCCTTTAAAACATGAAAAACCATGTCTTACAGGAGTGAAGCAGACATTTCTACATAAACCTAATGAAATATTAATAGGAAATAAGAAATTTAAAAATAAACCATGCTCTATCACTTGTGCTGATTTAGGTACAACCGATTAGTTTGGTGGTTGTTATGAGTGCAATTAGATGACGTTTTCGGGGTCAGTATTATGCAGTCTTTAAACAAGGACCTGTCGAAATATTGACGTATACGTGGAACTGGCCCTAAAAGTGTTTTTCATGCATCTTTTATTCTACTTTCTTCACCTAGGGTACATGGGAAAACCTTTTTTTGTTGATTAAAGTTAACTCAGACCTATTACTTTGGTTCAGACCAGTCTTTTCAGCGAATGGATATAATATTTTAAGTCTCATTTTTGTATATGTCATTCTGCTGAACATCTAGTGCCGGTGGAATCATTAGAGGTATTTTGAAAAACATCCTACATTCGAATTTTCGAATATATTTCAGAACTTGACCAGCGGAATTCACAAGGTTACGTTTGTGAATTCAAACTGTTCGACGCCTTTTTTCAAGTGTTCCTACACCCAAGGTATGACTTTTGCAACTTTCTAGGTAACGTATGACCCATTTTAATCACAATATTCAAAACGAAGCGTCTTACACGTTCTCCAGGCTCATATGATGCCACTGGACCATTCACACTCTGTGTATTTGTGAAAATTGATGGGTTTTTTTATTATCTTTTCTAATAATTACAGATTCCTCTGACCAAATGACAGTGACAATGAGTGGCTACATGTCCTACGGACTTAAGTGGGTCACTTTCAAAGGTGATGGGGATTTGGTTCCAATCAGCATTGTCTTTTTCACTGATGATGTTTGGAACGACATGGCTTCAGGTAAATCAAAGCACGATTCTTGAAAAAAAAGCTCTGAATAGGACCATAACGAAGCAAGCAAGATAGAATAAGAAGGTACGATTTTGATAAGAGGATAATACCGCGGCCATGTTGTATAAATGCTATAATACCCCATATAAATAAAAGTAATCATGATAGCATCAATTTTCATGAATATAATTAGGATTTTAAAATCCTTTGATAGCGTGGTGTTATTTAACCGTTGTATTATGTATCGTACAATACCAAATTCAAAGGACGCCTTTTCATAGGTAGGGAAGAGTGCTTTTAGTACTTCAAGCAATAAGAGCACTCTAGTCAAAGTACGGCCACATCAAATATACGTCCTCTAAACGCATGTTAAAAACAAACATCAAAGGCGTTTCATTTATTGAGATATTTGTCTTTTCAAGTTAATATTATTCTCAGTTAGTGTTGATAAAATTAGCAAAATTTTATCATCGCATATGTTAGTAGACAAAAATATACATTTTAAATAGGGAAACAGCACTGCTATAACTTGCCGCATTATCTCTGCATTTCGAAGTTTTAACCAGTAGAATTGTACTTCTCGAGGGTTGCCACACTTCTTTTAGGTGTAAATTGTGTTATTGTGATTTAGGTTCAATCCAACCGCAATACTCAGTTCCATTAATTGTTCGAGCCAAGAATATGCATACAGTGACTCTCACTTGTTCCATTTATGCGACGAATCCGAAGGTACGTACTTGTCATGTTAGTCAATCGTCGTTAAAGCCCTATTATTCTGCTTCACATATTGCCCAACTATAATTCCCAAATAAAACAACACACTAATGTCCTTCCTTATAAGTATAAAAATTAGGAATCCTACTCGCCCTATTCGATTCATCTTATTCATATTAGAATGTTCCCCCTTTTTTCATTTATGCTGAATTGTTACATGGCTTGAGAGGATGCACGTTAAACCACCTTTTGCAATCTTAACGTAAAATTTTCGTGCAGTGCAAGTTGATTTATATGTCTGTTTTCTTTAAATTATGAACTAATGTTCATAACAGCAAATTCGTTTGTGCAAATATGGTTTTTTATTGAAAATAATTCACTACTTTCTAATTACGCATCAATATTTACCTGTGGACGGCATTAAATGTGATTGGTTTGCTAAGCTTTTTTGCATTGCCGGTTTCAGGCGTCTCTTTATATCGGCCTCCAGAAGCAAGTTTACTATCAGATGAGACAATTACAAGGTCCAATTGATAATTCGGCAAAGTTTCCCCAAATCCTAAATCTCGGTAAGCATATTGGTGTATGTAAGCTCAAAATATTGTTTATTATTTATTTTGTGCCACTTGGCCTTTTTAAGCAACGGCGCCGAAGACCACTAGATTAAGTAATACTTTATGCAAATCACCGAATACTTAACCTGATCATCGGAAATCTTAATTTGTTAGAAATGTAGAAAATGGTCCAAAAATATAGCGCAAATGAGTTTTCGTAGGACCGTGTATTATCAGAAAAATTTTGTCGACCTTTTACTGAATAGATTACGATCGACACTTTAAATTATGGTTACTAATACAAAGCGTCACTAGTGTCAGACAACCGCGTAAAATATACTTCTTTTAATCACTTTCCAACAAATGCATCCAGCTTGTCAAGCATATTTGCCATTGCTGCGTTTCATGTGTATTATAATGTTCGTTTACTATTCTAACCAGAAAATGTGTATTGGATACACCTTTGCATGCAATCTCAAGTGTAGAAATGCCAGGCCAAACTCGCGCAAATATTTGTAATTGGTAAAAATAGACGGGGTAGGATTCGCATCCACGTTTGATCTCTCTTTTCCCAAACACACTTGTGTATCGTCGTACTTGATCTTGATCAATTCAATAAACCCCATTCTGTTCTTCATAACAGATTCCTAATTTACATTGGATAATGTGGGAAAGATTTCCATGGGAAACCATTCCTCCAGTGAATAGCTGCTTTGCAGCGATTTTGCATAATTTAGCATTAGGAAATTTTAACAATCAATACTGGCATTTCAAATTTACATTGTAAAAGGGCAAAAGCATGCAGAAGCATGTTTTCAAGTTCTAGAAGTGTTGAAATAACATGACGACAACAACAGAGAAACATCAAGATTCATAACTAAATTTTCAAATCAGTAATGCAAAGTGCCTTGTCAGCCTTGTTACCCTCTTTCGAGTTTTTGCTAATTTAAATTGTAGAGGTCAGAAATATCATTTTGCACAGGGTCTCAACAGTGACTGTGAAGAAGAATCAGGACATCGACTTTTATTCTTGCAACACCGGTGACTATTGGCTAACCCACACCATTGATTGGAGTAAGTCCCTGAAACTCAAATCTCAACCTGTACTACTTTACTGGCTAAAATTTGTCTTTAGACTTTCACAAATTGAAAAATTTTCGTTATTTTTTAATAAAATATCTTGTTCACTTTTCGATAAGTAAAAGAACTCTGGTCTGTTTTAGCTGTGTCTGGAGCAAGTAAGTGCTGCGGCTGTCGTTTTACTAAATTTCCTGGTTAAGCTTTATCTTTTTGGCACAACTAATCCTGATTTGTTTCAAGCGGCTTTAGGTTGATAGAGCTAGTAGTGGCGCATATTTGTGGTGATGAAATATTTGTCACGTCATTATGGCTACTTTCTCGTTTCGCGATAAATTAGGGTCGGTTGTGAGTCTAGCCACTAGTCATTCAGGTTGTGCTGTGTAGGTGACATCCGTGGATAATCAATGACAACATTTTCATGATTTTAGTGTTCTGGTTGATAAACCCGAGGTATCGATTTTGCATGAACACATTTGATTAAATATAGTGTAATTTTCGCCTCGCGCTGAGTGAATAAGTCATGTGAATATTGTTTTAATTTTAGCTTCCATTGGTTTCTCATTCGCTGTTTTCATTGGTAAGCCCTTTTGTTTATATTAATGCACATGCACATAAGCAAAAATTCCTTTCTCTTCCCTGTATCTGAATCGACATTTTTATTGATCTTTTCAGGAATCTTATTGTGCATTTTGCATTGAAGGAAGCACGCTTTCAAATCATCAAGAAAACACTTTACACTACAGTATTTGCGATTTGAAGAGTTTTGTATCTTTTTGTATATTGCTTTAACAAAACAGTGCTAACTGTACAAATGCTTTCTTTTGCTGTGGTTTTAATGTTGGTGAATAAAAGATATTTTGCTGGGTACTCTGGCTGATTCAGATTATTCGATAGTAAAGACGATTTCGACCACTGGGACCCACTTTCGTGCATTGAAATGCCGCGTTGTAACAAAATGGTGGATTGTATTAAGCAAGACGGCAGGCGTTTAAATTACCTAATGAGGTGATTCTTAAAGTAGCTATTCAATGATGACTGAATCGGTTGATAAACAAAAAACTTTGACGAGAGCGTAACTACTATCACTTTTAGTAAATTTTATAACCAGACTTCAGCTACTCTTACGCGCAAAATCACGAGTTGTTTCGTTGATAGATGTTAAGCAGATTGCATTAATTGCCAATTATTTGAATTAAAGGGTTTGCGATTAATTGGTTGGAAATTGTCGAATCGCCTTCTAGTCTGGAGATTTCGGGCACGGATCGAGGTTTGATCGTTTTCATAGAAAACCAACCTTTCTAAAGCTCTCATTAATTTGTTACCTAAGAAACTTCAAACCTAATGCCACGGGTGTCAGAGAATTCCTGATCTTTCCGTAAATGTCAATTTGTCCTTTTCACACTTAATCGGCTAATTTCTGGCGTTCGTATAAGTGCCTAGATAATAGGTTAAGACTGGTTGTTAAAAAGACCTCAATGAGAGTGTATCATACCTGAGTCCTTGCATGAAGAAGACAGATACGACAACACAGACTTTATTGACCAATTAGAGGCGTCCGCTATAATGGCGTTGCCTCCAGTTACCAACTGCCTATCATCCACCCTTGACTCTTTTTGGCCGTTGGTCTTCAAAACAGGCCAATCAAACGGATACATAGAGATAGTTGGCTGAACTCGGCTATGGCCCTAATGTACAAAGTGTCAGCGGTTGGTATAGCACGGTTAGCTTGTGGTGATCATGATGTAAATTGAAACATAATTCAAGAGAATATATTGAAATAGAAGCTTAATACAGACAAGGCCACCTTAAGATATTTTAATCTAACAGTAAAATGTATTTTTTATAAGATTCCAGCTGATAGTAGTAATCGATTTAGTATAACTGCTTCCAGTGAATAGACGAACCGATATCAGGTAGCCATACCAATATCCTCGGACCAGATCAGCTTGTCAATCACAGACCATGATGAGATCATTTAGTAAACTCTTTGCGATTTCATTTTGGCTCGCTTTGTGATGATTTCAACCAAGGTCCTTTGTGTGTGTGCGCGTGTGTGTGTGCACGTTTGACATACGTCAAGTTGATGACCTTGAAAATGTCGCACCACTATCTTGCCTATGGAAAGAAAATTTCATCGCCTCATTCACCTTGCCAGATTCGTCAACGCATGCGTAATTCAGCCAATGCAATTTCCAGCGTTCAGTTTCGGTCATTATCATCCTTCACAATGACAACAATTAACCAAATGTCAATCAACAGACACTGCAAATACGTAGGGAGTTGAAAGGGGATAATCTTCCATTACCAGACTATTTTCTTTCAATTTTTTATCTCTTTCGTTCTCAGTAATATAATTTAAACAAAAATGAATAAGATTCTATGGGAAAAGTCAAATGCTTCCAAACAAAGAAGGATATTAACTAATGTGACATTCATGACAGCTGATAGCCTGGTTAATAAATAATGTCACGTTTTTCTGAAAATGGGTTGTTTCAGAATTGAACGCGGATTGTTTTAATCACCCAGTAAGTCGGAAGTCACCACCGATAAGTGAGTACCCTCCAAACACCCAAAAAGCAGACTCCTTAGTCTCGTCTGAACGAAGTTTTTGACTTACGAATGAGAAAATGAATCGAATAATGCTCAATTAATAGGCTGCTGGAATGCAAACTGCAGCGGTGCTTAAATTTTCCTAATGTCGAACCCCCCCCCTCCCACACAGACTGCAGTGAAAGCCAATTGTTTTGAAGGGTCAAGGTCAGCGTGCAGTGGTCTGATCCACTGTGTGTGTGCATGCAAACAACTGGCACAGGCAAAATATATATACAGATTCCATTCACTAATCCCGTCTTTATAGGTGTCACTTGATTCTATAAACATGGCTGGATTGCTTCTTCTGTGTGCAGCTTTAGCCACGATCCTTCAAACAGGTTGGTTTCAATGCTGGCATTTCTTGATGTGATGTTTGTTTTCACGGGATATAGGACTATTTTAGCAACCACAAATGCAATTTAATCCTTATACCTCATAGTTCATGTCCCACAATCAATGTAGATGCCTAGTCGATTAATTAAGAATCGTATGGAGATGATATTCTAGATGTTGATCGGCCCAGTACCGATGAGTCATAAGTCCAGGTTGTGAAATCTGACTCGTCCATATTTGGGTGTCATGTCGTTTAAGTTGACTGTTTAATTTATGTTTCTGTAAGCACTGATTTTCAGAATATTTTAGCAGAAAAATTAAGTTTGTTTATTTGGATGCTTCTGGACAGATACTTCAATTAACCCAATCGTAAATATCTTTGGTAGTAAAT